CGCCACATAGCCATCGTCATCGCCATCGCCATCGCCATCGGTTCTACTAATAATCATAATCAATCGCTCGAGTTGCCTCGCGCTTGTATCGTGAGAATGCCGCGCCGACCGAGATAGAGATACTTTTGGGGCTGGCAGTGAGTGCGAGTGAGCGGGGGGAATAGACAGAGTCAAGTCAGTACGAAGAGGTTCGAGTTGCTTTATCTTTTGGTTGTCGTTTGTTTTATTTTATTTATTATTCTGCCCCCTATTTTGAGCACTCTTATAAAGGGTATATCAGCCCTATCATAGGTTCTAGCTAAAAATTAATTAAATGGATAATCAGTTGATTTATCTCCTTTCATTAAATGCAATTTTTGTTTAAAAACTCAAGTAGGATATTTGGTATTCCTCAGTAACTGTTTCTGTGCCACCAGGCCTGGGGGTGGTGGGCTAAAAAAAAAAAGAGGCTTTACCCGTTAGCTTTATAAACCGAAACAAAAACAAAGAGAGAGAGGCATTGGCGAAAAGGGTTGCCAACCTGCGCATCACTTGGCATCCTTTTTGGGATCCCCCCCCCTCATGCACATGGACTTGCACTTTGTTTGTGGTTTGATTTTACAGTTATTTGAGAACTGTATCCATAAGATATATTTTTTTATAGCAGGTAGAGTAGTGCAACGGAGGGGTTCATTGCTTTCGTGCTAATTTTTGGGGTGAAGCTATCAGAGTTACTCACGCATATCGTGTTTATTTTACAGCTCTGAACTGTTTACCCCCAATTCGCAAAAGCTTGATAAGTACAGCTATAACTAGGGTTGTTGGTTTTTGAAAAAATATCGTATTGATGATATTTGCTGTGAAAAAAATATCAATCGATAATTTTCAGAAACATCACCAAAAAAAATCGATATATCGAGTATTTTCGATATTTTTAATAGTCAGCTAAAACTGAAAAAAGGTTATTTTTAAATTTAAAAAAAGGTTTTAATATGTGTTGTCATCCGCCATGAACTGCAAACAAGACATATTTTTTATTTAAAAAGTGAATTGAAAAAACAACAAATATTTATACCCACTCTCAAGCAACTTTTATTTAAGTTCTTTGAAATAAAAAATAACAAAATTATTAAGGACATTGTATTCAAATTTATTTATAAAAAAAACTTAATACAAAAAAAACAAGAAAGCAAAGCTAACTTCGGGCGGAGCCGAAGTTGATATACCCTTGCAGCTAAAACCGGATATATATCTCAAACATCGGATATAGTTGGCCGATCCTTACGGGAATATGAATATATAATCCAATTTATTACAATACAAAATCTAAACAAGAAAGGAAAGCTAACTTCGGGCGGAGCCGAAGTTTATATACCCTTGCAGTTAAAACCGGATATATATCGCAAACATCGGATATAGTTGGCCGATCCTTATGGGAATAGGAATATATACTCCAATTTATTACAATACAAAATCTAAAAAAAGTCCCAAGCTTCTATCTTCAAAAATACGAAAGTTGATATTTCTATTAAATACCATTTCCGATCGTTCAGTTATATGGCAGCAATAGGATATAGTCGGCCGATCCTAATGAAATTTGGTAGGTTGGATCAACTGACCAAAAATAGAGTCTGTACTAAATTCCAGCTTTCTATCTTCAAAAACACGAAAGTTGGGTCATTTCCGATCGTTCAGTTATATGACAGCTATAGGATATAGTCGGCCGATCCTTATGAAATTTGGCATGTCGTATTATTTTGCCAAAAATAGCTCTCACCTAAAATTTAAACTCTCTAACTCTAAAAATACCAAAGTTATACCATTTCCGATCAATCAGTTATATGGCAGCTATAGGATATAGTCGGCCGATCCGGGCCGTTCCGACTTATATACTGCGTGCAAAGGAAAGAAGGGTGTGTGCAAAGTTTCAAGACGATAGCTTTAAAACTGAGAGACTAGTTTGCGTAGAAACAGACAGACGGACAGACAGACAGACGGACAGACGGACAGACGGACATGCTCATATCAACTCAGGAGGTGATCCTGATCAAGAATATATATACTTTATAGGGTCGGAGATGTCTCCTTCACTGCGTTGCACACTTTTGGACAAAATTATAATACCCTCTGCAAGGGTATAAAAAAGTCTCAAGCTTCTATCTTCAAAAATACCAAAGTTGGTATTTCTACCAAAAACCATTTCCGATCGTACAGTTATATGTCAGCTATAAGATATAGTCAACCTATCGTTATGAAATTTGGTAGATCGGATAAACTGACCAAAAATAGAATGTGTACCAAGTGCCAGCTTTCTATCATCAAAAACACGAAAGTTGGGTCATTTCTGATCGTTCAGTTATATGGCAGCTATAGGATATAGTCGGCCGATCCTTATGAAATTTGGCATGTCGTATTATGTTGCCAAAAAAGCTCTCACCTAAAATTTGAACTCTCTAACTTTAAAAACACCAAAGTTATACCATTTTCGATCAATCAGTTATATGGCAGCTATAGGATATAGTCGACCGATCCGGGCCGTTCCGACTTATATACTGCGTGCAAAGGAAAGAAGGATGTGTGCAAAGTTTCAAGACGATAGCTTTAAAACTGAGAGACTAGTTTGCGTAGAAACAGACAGACGGACAGACAGACGGACAGACGGACAGACGGACATGCTCATATCAACTCAGGAGGTGATCCTGATCAAGAATATATATACTTTATAGGGTCGGAGATGTCTCCTTCACTGCGTTGCACACTTTTGACCAAAATTATAATACCCTCTGCAAGGGTATAAAAAGTTTCATGGAATTCATGGAATATGTACTTAATAATGCTAATTACTTAATTCTCTTATTTAATGCTCTTAATTACAAAATAAATCTTTCTTCAATGATTTCAAAAAAACTCTTTCGGTTATATGCTGGTATGTCATTCGACTACGGGAGTCACAGACAACACATTTAATGGCAGAAGCCAACCGTTCAGATGGAACCGAACATCCAGGCGTGATAAGAAAACTTAAAGCAACCTTCGCTAGCATTGTCATCGTTGAAATTTGTGAGTTCCAGAATTCCAACGGATTTGTCTCTCAAATACAAAATGGCATACTCAAGTAAACCTGCATTTCCTTTCTTTCGCAACTAATATCGGAAAACACCAACTCAAAAATATTATTATCGACTATTTTCGCCCAAAAAATATCACGATAATAATATTTTTTTAAGAGAAAATATATCGATATATCGATATTTTGATATATTTCCGACGTCCCTAGCTATAACCCCACATAGTACTAAATAGGTGGTCTAATACTATTTATTATCTTTTTAATTATCTATAAGAGTATAAATAATACTCTTTCTTTTTTTGGTGCAATTAAATCTAGTTGGCTTGAGTAGGAAACTATATTGTATCGGGTATCCCCAATACTCTCTCTCTATTGCTATCCCCATTATTGTTGCCATGTTGTCTAATGTGTGTCCCCCCCTTACGACATTCTGTGACAGGCCCTGCAATTTAGTCGTTTTGCGATGCTTGGCTCTGTTTCTTTCACTTTACTTTCCTGTGCGCCGTCGCCCACCATTATTATTATCATAACTAACTAGGAGGGAATACACAGCCAAAACAACAAAAACACTCTCACATACAGATATACAGATATATGTATATATTTACGAATAAGTACGAATACACAAGTACTAGTACGAGGGTGGACTCCTTCGGCTGCGGCGCGTGCAATTGGTCTCACAGGATTCATTTGTTTGTCTCCGTCTCCGTTTCGTGTCTCCTTTGGCTGGCTCCTGCTCCTGCTCCAGCTCCTGCTCCTGCCCCTGCTCCTGCTCCATACCCTTCTTGTGACCCGTTGGGCGCCATTGCAGAGCACGGCGTACTTGGAACCAGGCTCAGAGCGCCGTGTTTTATGCACTGGAAATAAAATTTCAAAAAAAATTAAATTTAAATATCCATCTATTAAGCAACTAAGTATTTAGTTAATTAGCTAACAAATTAATAGTTGAAATATATGTAAAGTTACTCCTCCCCACCCCTTTTTCCCTGTGCCTCTGTTTACTCCCCCATCTTAACCCTCCAACTCGGTCTCTGTCCTGCTGCCTTTTGGCCCGTGTCCTCCTGACGGAGTGTTATTAGGGGTGTAAAATGGATTTTTTACTTTTATTATTATGATTTTATTGTATTTCCAGTTTCAGTTTGTTGGTATAAGCTCTCTTCTTCTCTGTCTTTCTCCTTTCCCCCTCTTTCTCCTTTCTTTTTTGGCATTGTCTCGCTCCTGTTATGTGCTCGCCATTCGCATTTGTTTCTCTTTTATTTTTTGTCGCCTTTTGCAAAAATTTGTGTGTGTAATTCGAAAGGAGGCAGTATTAGTGGCCCGGTAGATGGTGATGATGGTGATGGTGATGAGGCGGCCACCCTACCATGCCACCACCACCATCCATAGCACCCTCGGAAAGGGGGTGGTGGTATGTCCCATCCCCTTTGGGTCTAGAATTACGTTTGATACGAATACGAAGGGTTCGTTCCTGGTGGACGTGGACGCTTTTTTAATTCTTTTTTTTTATTCTTTTTTGAACAAAAATTGTGTAAATATTCGTAATGAATTTGCACTTGCGAAATGCAGACACACATCGTCGTATATCGCACATCGGGGTGGTCTCTCTGAGAGTCTGGGATGTAAATGGTTATTATATGCATTTCCAGGGTTGCCCAACTATGCCAAGATATACCCTTCTAAGGGCTATAAAGGTTATGCTGATGCCCTGACCCAAATAATAATGATACCCAATTATTTTCCATTACTTCGAGTTCTTTGAAAGACGATTTAGTTTGTAACTCAGTACGACGTAATTATAGACTTATCTTATCTGGGACTGGAAAGTTGTTGGGGATCAGGGGGGATCTGACTAATCTATTGAGTCATGGCATACTTAACCATTAGATGTCTTTGGAGAGAACTATTAATTAAAACTCACTCTAACCATCTTCAAATCTTCGTTCTCTTCCAGAAAATGGAGCGGCAGGGCAAGATGGAGCTGGCCGCCAAAGAGCGTGAGTCCCAACGCCTGCAGCTCATCCCCAAGAAGTGGAACCGGCGCGAGGAATACGAATTCCTGCGAGTCCTCACCGGCTATGGAGTGGACTTGCACCTCTCCACGCCCATGGGTGCCAACAATGCCAGCACCCTCACCCCAGACTGGACCAAGTTCAAGCAAATGGCTCATCTGGAGCGAAAGAGCGACGAAACACTGACAGACTACTACAAGGTCTTTGTGACCATGTGCAAGCGCCAAGCGGGCCTCAAACTGGCCGAATCCGAGCGGGGACTGGAGGGCATTATCGAGGAGATCGAGAAGGAGCACGCCAAGCTGATACTGGATCGGTTGGAGCTGCTGTCGAAGCTACGCGAGGTGGCCCGCAACCCGCAGCTGGAGGACAGGCTCAAGCTCTGCACCATGAATGCCGACACACCGGACTGGTGGGAGCCGGGTCGCCACGACAAGGAACTTATAACGGCTGTACTTAAGCACGGTCTCTACCGCTCCGAGACCTTCATCTTCAACGACCCGAACTTTAGTTTCGGGGAGTCGGAGAAGCGATTCATCCGGGAACTGGAGGCCCAAATCCAGCGCACTATCAAGCTCGAGGCTTTCAATGCCGAAAAGGCCGAGAAACTGGCAGCTGCCGAGAAAGCAGCCGCCGCTGAGAAGGCCGCATCAGAGAAAGCCGTCAAGAACGAGGTGATAGATCTGGATGACGAGCTAATGACCGACGAAAGTGTCATCAAGAAGGAGGGCACGCCCGTCAAGGAGGAAGTCAAGGCCGAGGAGAGCGCCGAAAAGAAGGAGGCTGCCAGTCCAGAACCGAAGACGTCGGAGGAGGACGAACCCGCCAAGGCTGAGGCTGAGACGGAAGTGAAGGACGATGCTGTCAAGGCTGAGGATTCCGAAAAGGAAACTGAACCAGAAGCTATCGCGGCTGAGAAGGAGAAGTCGCCAGCTGAGGCTGAAAAGGATGCTTCCGAGACCGAAGAATCCAAGGCTAGTGAGGAGAAGATGGAGGTCGAAGAGCCAGCCATCATCCCAGCCGAAAATGGCCAAGAGAAGGCTGAGGTCACCGCTGAAGCCTCTCCTGAGAAGACCCCCGAACCAGAGGAGAAGAAATCCCCCGAAGACAATGAGAAATCGGAGGAAGCTGAGGAAGAATCCACCAAAATGGAAGTGGAGGAATCGCCCAAAACAGACGTTGAAGAGAAGACTCCAGAGAAGTCGGAACCCGATACCAAGGAATCTGAGGATAAGGCAGTGGCCAAGCCAGAGGATGAAAAGCCAGAAGAGTCCAAGGAGGAATCCAAGGAGAAGTCCGAGGACATCGACAAGGAGGAGAAAAAGGCAACTGCTGAAGTTGCTGAAACCCCCGAGAAGGCTTCTGCTGCGTCAGAAACCGAGACGGCTGCCAAGAAGCCAGCTGGGGATCAAGAGATCCTTGACCTGGTGGCCGGACCCACAGATCCCGACGATGACGAGGTCATGAAGGAGAAGGAGAAGGCCGTGGAGGAGGAGTGCAAGAAGCAAGCTGCTGAGCTGAAGGCCCGTTTCCCCGACCTGGAAGTCATCCAGCCGGCGACGGTGAAGCAACAGAAACTGGAAAAGCCCAAGCTGGAGATGTGCATGATCCGCTGGTTCAAGGACTTTGCCCTGGAACGCCGCATCGCGCACATTGTGGCCTGCGTGGAGTCCGGCAAGTGGCCGGTCGACAGCAAGTACAGTGCCTTTGCCAGCTGCAAGGGAGTCACCGATCTGAGCATCGCTCTCCACGAATCCATTCCGCACCTGAGCAGCTTGGACCGCCGCTCCACCACACCCGACGTGATCACCATCACTACGGACCAGGGTGTGACGAAACACCTGCAGGCATCGCAGATGCAGCAAGTGGCCAGTTCGGCGGCCGCTGCCTCCGGCTCGACTGGACTGTCCCAGTCCATGGGCCAGTCCAAGCCCGTGAGTGCTCCCACTCTACCAGGATTGGATGCGAATAGCATCAATGCTGCGGTGGCCGCTGCTGTGGCGGCTGCGGCAGCCGGTGGTAACGCCACCTCGCTGTCCAGCCTGCTGCCCGGGATGTCGCTAAGTGCGGCAACGGGCGCCTCGGCTGGCGGAGTGGGTGGCCTCAATGTGCCCAGTGCCGGTTCCGGGCAGGGCAAGAAGCGCAAGCGTCACATTGCCATCGACGTGGAGACGGAGAGGGCCAAGCTACACGCCCTCCTCAACAGCTCGACAAGTGAGTATTCCATAGATTTCAATCCCAGCTTTAAAAATACTTAAATTTTCGTTTATTTCTCTTCTTCTAGTGGCTCCCAAAGACTGGGAAAGCGAGATAGCCAACATGGAGGCCCTGACTGGTGGGTCATCCGGCCGGGGACGTGGAAGTGGCTCGTCGGCAGCCCTGAGTGGCATGCAACCGCCGCCCGCTCACCAGCACGCCGCGCTGTCGCGCCAATCTTCCGGCCAGTTCAGCAAGCCAGCTGTTCCGGCCCTGAAAACTCCACCACCCTCAATGGGCGCACCCATGGACTTGTCCTCAAGGTGGGTCTACCATGGAAACTTTACAAAGAAGCCTTATTCATCACCTTTCTCTTAATTTTCTGCAGCTTGCCCAAGATGAACATGACGGAGATGCTCAAGTCGGCCTCCAATGCCGTGGCCATCGACCTGAGTGAGGTGCAGGACTTCTCCATGCCCTCCAAGAAGTCTAGCGTGCATGCGGCGCTCAGCTCAGCCTTCCCCTCGATGGGCAGCAAGAGCAAACTGGACGACACGCTCAACAAGCTAATGAAGAAGAATAATTGCGTAGGTTTCAGAGATATGTGACCTCTAGGGATATATTTTAAAGTAATTCCTACTTCCAGACCATTGAAGAGCCTGTGATTGGCAAGGAGAAGAAACGCAAGAAGCTGGATGAGATTGTGTTAGGTCTGTCAGCGGCCAAAGAGCAGAAGACCTTCCCAGATCCATCGTTGCCGTCGTCGAAGAAGCCACAGATACCGCCCAGCGTATCGGTGACGCCGGCCAATCTGCAGTCGTCGTCTAGCCAGCAGCAGTCCAACCAGAAACCCTTCACCATCACTGTAACCACAGTGCCCGGAAGTGAGTTTGAGTCTCTGCGCTTTTACTTTTACCCCGCCCGAGGATTGGCAAACGACCATGGAGCTCTTACTAATCGACCGTATCTATCTATTGCAGAATCCAAGGGCGCCTCGTCCAGCGGCGGATCCGGCGCCGGAGGAAGCTCATCGGCCAGCGGCGGAGGAGCTGCCGGCGGCAGCGGCCTGAGCGCCCTGCAGAACATGGCCATGGGCGGACTGTCGTCGAAGGACAGCCTGAACGCACTCCTGGCCCAAACGATGGCCACCGATCCCCAGACCTTCCTCAAGCAACAACAGAAGATGATGCAGTTCCTGCCACCAGCCCAGCGGAAGGCCTACGAGAACATGCTGGCCGAAATGGAGCAGGCCATGAAGCTGAGCTCCAAGTACTCGGCCAATTCCCCGCACGACGTCAAGGTCAACAAGTGGCTATCCGACATGACCAGCCCATTGGGCGATCAGCTGAGCATTGACTACGTCGGAGGCGGAGGAGCAGGATCCGGCAGTGCCAACAGCCGGCGCTCCAACCGACAGCAGAGCAGCTCCTCCCAGCAGTCCTCCAGTGCCGCTCAGCTGCAGAAACAACAGCAACAGCAGCAGCAACAACAACAGCAGCAGCAACAGCAACAACAACAGCAGTCGATGGCTGGCCCCCAGAATCTCACTGGAGAGGAACCCGTGCCGGTGATCAACAAGCAGACCGGCAAGCGTCTCGGCGGCAACAAGGCTCCGCAGCTCAAGCGACTGATGCAATGGTGAGTGTTGGAGTTCTCCCTACTGACTTCCTTACTAATATCCCAATTCCATTGCAGGCTCACGGAGAATCCCAACTATGAGGTGGATCCCAAGTGGCTGGAGCAGATGCAGAATCCGATGTCGGCACCCTCGCCCAAGCCCAGCTCAATGGATAGCAGTTACGGCTCATCGGCGGTCAAGTCGCACGGTGGGCGACCATCCTCCAACTCCAGCAACGCCTCATCCTCGTCCCACACCCAGCAGCAACAGCAGAACGCCGCGCAGTCCCCAGCCGGTAACTCTGGCAGCTCCAAGAAGTCATCCCGCCAGCAATCGGCTGCGGCAGCCGCATTGGATCAGGCTGCCCTGCAGTTCGGCTCTCTGGCAGGTCTGAATCCCAATCTTCTGGCCAACCTGCCCGGACTGGGAGCATTCGATCCAAAGAATCCACTGGCTGCCTTTGATCCGAAGAATCCGCTGCTTTCGATGCCGTTTGGCGGAATGCCCGGAATGACAAACATACCGGGATTGGGTAACCTGAACAACATGAATCTGTTTGCCAGCCTGGCAGGCATGGGAGGATTGGGCAACCTGGCGGGTATGGACACCCAGTCGCTGGCTGCGCTTATGGCGGCTGCCGGGCCTTCTCTCGGAGGGTTGACGGGCAGTTCCGGAGCGACCGGATCCGGCAAGAATCAAGGGCAGTCTGGTGGCGGCTCCTCGAACTCCTCGTCCTCATCGGCGAGCAAGAAGAAGCAGCAGCAGCAACAGGCGCAACAACAGGCCCAGAACGAAGCCGCTCAGCTGGCGGCGGCCCTCAGCGCGAGCAGCGGAGGATCTGGAGGTGGATCGTCGGGAGGCGCCGGAGGAAAGAACTCTGCTCCTTCGGCTTCCCAACTGGCGGCAGGCTTCCCCTTCCTGTTCCCGAATCCGTCGCTTCTGTACCCACCCATGGGACTGGGCGGCTTGAATCCGTACTCCCTGGGATCCAGCGGCCTGGGCTCCGCCTACGACCAGCTGGCCCAGCAGTACAACCTGCTAAACGGAGCCACTTCCTCTGCCTCGAACACGAGTTCCACACAATCAAAATCGCACCAGTCGCAGTCCAAGTCCAGCCAGGCCAGGAATGCCTCGGCAGCTGCCAACTCGGCGGCAAGCCTGATGAATGCCATGGCCAGCATGGGAGGAGCCAGCACAGTGACCACACCGTCTACATCGTCTGCCTCGGGATCTGGTCGGGGCAGGCAGTCGAGTGGCAGGAGTCAACCACAAGTCACGCCCACGGCAGCGGACATGGCCCAACTGAGCAGCCTGCTCATGCCAGGAGCGGATCCGCTTCTGCTGGAGTCCCTCAGCCGAATGAGCAATATGGATTTGGCGCAGGCCACCAGATTGATGAGCTCCTTGGGAATGCCACCGCTGCCGGGAACCTCCAGCTCGGCGTCCGGTGGTGGCGGTGGCGGCAGTACCTCCTCCAGCAGCACCAGCAAGCGAAGCAGCAGCCAGAGTGCCAACGACCAAGCCAAGGAACACCAAAAGTGGCTTGAGAGTCTGGCCCGAGGAGCCCTGCCCACGGATCTGGCCGCTCTGCAGGCCTTCTCGCAGGGCAAAATGCCGTCCACATCGTCCTCGAACACGGCCACCTCGCAGTCGTCCTCCAGCAAGAGCGCCAAGTCGTCGGCAGCCGCGGCGGCAGCAGCAGCAGCGGCAGCCCAACTGCCTCAGATACCGGGCATGACCAGTGATTTCTCGCAGGCCTTCTTGGCCGAAATGGCTGCCCAGGCAATGGCGGCCGCTGGAGGATCCCTGCCACTAAGCGGACCCGGATCCCTGGCCAGCTTGGCCGGCTTAACGGGCGGATCTGCTGGTGGCTCGAGCGGAGGTGGCAGCGGCGGCGGAAGCTCCTCAGGTAACAGCAGTTCATCGAAGCGTCAGCGTGAACAGGATGCCTTCAAGCAACAAATGGACTACTACACCAAAACTTTGGGCCTGGGATCGGGAATTTCACTGATTCCCACATCGGCTGGCGGATCATCTTCCTCTTCGGTGGCAGCAGCCTATGCTGCAGCCCTGGACGCAGAGCACCAGCAACAACAGCAGAAATCGAAGCGTTCGCGCAGCGAAATCCATCCAACAAAAGAGGAGCTGGCGGCAGCCGCCCTGGCAGCTGGACTACCCCTGAATCTGGGGGCCAGCATGAGCAGCATCGAGAAGAGCTTGAGAGGCGGAAGCAGCTCAAGCAGCAGTTCCACGCCAGCGCCCATGTCCGCGGAACAGGATAAGGTTACGCTGACACCTCTAAATGCCTCCGGATCGGGATCAGGTTCAGGATCTGCATCCGGATCGGGATCAGCAGCTGCCGCCGGCTTGGCGGCCAACCTGCCGAGTCAGACCACCATCACCATTGCCCCACCGATCAGCAGTGGGGCCAGCACGAGCAGTGAGCGTTCGGAGCGCTCCGAGTCGCGCATATCGCTGACCATCACCAATGCAGCGGACGCGGCGAAACTGCCCCCACCGTACGAGGAGGCCGACGAGCTCATCATACAGCCCATTCTCAAGAAGCCGGCGACATCCGGCAATCCCGGCAGCAGTCACGGCGGCAGCGTTGAGGACTTGGACACGGCAGGAAATACTTCGGCAGCCAACCTGAGCGGTGGTTCCTCTTCCAGTTCCTCCGCTGCGGCGGCGGCGGCAGCTGCTGCTGCAGCCGAGGAGAATCGTCGCTCCTCCAACAGGCTGAAGCGTCCGAGATCCGGAAACGAACAGGGTAGCGTTTCCGCAGATGGCCAGCCACCCGAGAAACGGCGAGAGCTGAGATCCACGCGGCACACGCGCTCCTCGGCGGATGCCAACAGCCTGAATCTCTCGGCGGGAAGCGAATCCGGAGCGGAGGATCGGAATGAATGAGTATTGCGCAGATCCGAGCGACAGCGCTAGCAGGATGACACGGCTCCTCCTCCACCTACGAAAGGCCGGAGAGCAGGATGTGGAACTGGAGGAGCCAACACCAAACAGGCACCACACCAACAAGAGCAACATCAACCAGAACCCAAGCAGAAGCAGAGAATCAAGAGCAAGAAGACGACGACGATGAGCAAACAGATGCAGACGAGGTCGAGGCGAAAATTAAATGCTAGGCTAACTGTTACCACTAGATCCCTTAAGCTTAAAGTTGTGTAAATGATAAGAGCATATATAAACTATATATAGAGGTTAGGAGCGGATCCAGGGGCAGGGGGATGTGGCGATTGGCAATCACCGTGATGCCTCCGGTCAACAGACACTGCTGCAAACCGTCTGGCGGTCGGGGGCTGAAGCTCTGACTCCAATTGACCTAATCGAGTTCCAACTGCTGCATAACTGGAACCGGATTAGGTATTCACATCCAGCCACACCCTGGTGCTGCTTAAATATTCATACAGTTACGGAACATGATTAAAAAGCGCTTATAATTTAATTGTAACGAGAGAAGCGAATGCTGCTGCATAAAGATTATCCGTTTAAATTATTGCAACCACACACACACACACACACACACATAATTTATAAGCGACTATATAGAACACACACACACACACACTATACAGAACAGGCACACATAATTATAATTATAATTGAGAAAAAGAGACACAGATACTTGGGTTTCCTGCGCTGTCCTCACACACATGCAATTGTCTCTATATACGATACCTGTACATAATTTATCACCTATGACCTATGACCCCCCCAGAAATGGCTCTCGCATTGCTTAAACATTTTAAATATCGTAAGACACCGTGTACTCTCATGCCGAATCATTCAATCCACGATCCACCACCCAACCCAACCCCCCTCACTATGTTGTATTGTATACTGTACTCTCTACTCTTTGTGTGTAATTTTTTAATGATTTTAATTTTGTAATTAGTGAAAGGAATGGAATGGAATGGAATGGAATGGAGCAAGGACGAAGTGGATCGGATTGGAGCATTCCACAATGAGAAGCTTCGTTCGGGCGTAGATTTTAATTTTTTGTAATTGTAATTTGTATTTGTATGTTTTTTTAAAAACGCATCTTTGTGTAACCCAACAAAAAACATAAAACTAAAAAAAAAATATGATTAATGAAATGAATACCAACACACACACACACCACCCCCCCCTTTAAGCAGACCAGGCGCCGCGCAACTAACGAAAGAAAAATGTTTATTGAAAAATAGAATTTTTTAATTAAATCAATTTTAATGTAATTGAAACAAAAAAAAAAACAAGGAGAGTGTGAAACTTGCACGTTTGATAAGGTATGAGCGGTAATTAGCGCATAATGCATAGTTACTCGGATGGGTATACCAATTATGGATCTATTTTGTTCGCTCTTTACGAAACGATTAATTCTGAAAAGTAAACAAAAAAAAACAAAAATGAAAGAAACGCAAAAACAAGCAACCAACATATATTGCATACTTAAATTTTAAGTAAAAATCTTAATTAAAATTATAATATAACTGCAGAACAACAAAAAGCAACAACAACCAGAAGAAGCAACTACAGCAACAAGTAACAACCAAGCATCAACTACTGATATTGATGATAAATAAACATAAAAAATAAATTTCAAAAATTACAACACTTTTGTTATAATTGGGTGGATATGGTTTTTAAACTTAGTTTTCTCAGCTAGTATATACACAGTATATAAATATGGCCCACAGTGATGGCTATATCTTCCACAATTCTCATCCGATTCCCAAGCGGAGTACCTTAAACGATTTCTAGACCGATTCTCCATCATTCTGCATCAAAATCCGGAGACAAAATATTTTTCAGATTTTTTGTCCATTTTTCCTGATGAAAACGATTGAAAATGGGGTTTTTCCCTATAGGGCCCACAGTGATGGCTATATCTTCCCAAGTTCTCATGCGATTCTCAAGCGGAGTACCTTAAACGATTTCTAGATCGATTCTGCATCATTCTGCATCAAAATCCTGAAACAAAATATTTTTCAGATTTTTTTCCATTTTTCCTGACTGATCCCCTGAAAATGGGGTTTTTCCCTATAGGGCCCACAGTGATGACTACATCTTCCCCAATTCTCATCCGATTCTCAAGCGGAGTACCTTAAACGATTTCTAGATCGATTCTGCATCATTCTGCATCAAAATCCTGAAACAAAATATTTTTCAGATTTTTTTCCATTTTTCCTGACTGATCCCCTGAAAATGGGGTTTTTCCCTATAGGGCCCACAGTGATGGCTATATCTTCCCAAGTTCTCATGCGATTCTCAAGCGGAGTACCTGAAACGATTTCTAGATCGATTCTGCATCATTCTGCATCAAAATCCTGAAACAAAATATTTTTCAGATTTTTTTCCATTTTTCCTGACTGATCCCCTGAAAATGGGGTTTTTCCCTATAGGGCCCACAGTGATGACTACATCTTCCCCAATTCTCATCCGATTCCCGAGCGGAGTATCTTAAACGATTTCTAGATCGATTCTGCATCATTCTGCATCAAAATCCTGAAACAAAATATTTTTCAGATTTTTTTCCATTTTTCCTGACTGATCCCCTGAAAATGGGGTTTTTCCCTATAGGGCCCACAGTGATGACTACATCTTCCCCAATTCTCATCCGATTCCCGAGCGGAGTATCTTAAACGGTTTCTAAATCGATTTCTCATCATTCTGCTTCAAAATCCTGAGACAAAATATTTTTCAGATTTTTCGTCCATTTTCCCTGACTGATCCCCTGAAAATGGGGTTTTTCCCTGTATGGCCCACAGTGATGGCTATATCTTCCCCAATTCTCATCCGATTCTCAAGCGGAGTACCTTAATCGATTTATAGATCGATTCTCCACCATTCTGCATCAAAATCCTGAGACAAAATATTTTTTAGATTTTTTGTCCATTTTTCCTGATGGGATCCCTTGAAAATGGGGTTTTCCCCTATATAGCCCACAGTGATGGCTATATCTTCCCCAATTCTCATCCGATTCTCAAGCGGAGTATCTTAATCGATTTCTAGATCGTTTCTCCATCATTCTGCATCAAAATCCTGAAACAAAATATTTTTCAGATTTTTTGTCCATTTTTCCTGACTGATCCCCTGAAAATGGGGTTTTTCCCTATAGGGCCCACAGTGATGGCTATATCTTCCCCAATTCTCATCCGATTCCCAAGCGGAGTACCTTAAACGATTTCTAGATCGATTCTCCACCATTCTGCTTCAAAATCCTGAAACAAAATATTTTTCAGATTTTTTTCCATTTTTCCTGACTGATCCCCTGAAAATGGGGTTTTTCCTATAGGGCCCACAGTGATGGCTATATCTTCCCCAATTTTCATCCGATTCCTAAGAGCTACTAAAATATTGTGTAATTAGTAATTACCTTATCAATTCGCAACGCTGTTGACTCGTGATCGGTTGGCACACGCCCCTAATAAATATTTCCAATTATACTCTGATTAAAACAAGCGATTTCGTGTGCATTCTGATGTTGTATTTAGATATTTTTTACTACGCATTTTGAATGTACTTGTATATCGATGTATATTCACAGTAATTGAGTAAACTTAGAAAAAGACAACAAGAGCTGTGCGTGTGGAATTTGAGAAAACCAAAAAAAGGGGATATACCTTAAATTCCGAATTACGAACGGGCTCGATAGTGTTAAATCCTAATTAATGGGAAACTTTGTTTTGGTATGATAAGGAATATGAATGGGGTTGATATGCGGGAATGGGGTACTTTTGGGGTATGACAGAACTTACAATAAATACAAAAACGTACAAATATGTATAATATACAATATATAAATCTGCAGTTAAAGCACTTAACTCGCTTCGCATCGATGCGTTAGTAAACTTTGAGTCTTAGAGTCTAAGAAAACACTGCCCATATTATTTTACAAGGACAATCAGAGGTTTTACATAAGATTAATGCTTTTAGTTGCCATTCCTTTGTTTTAAACAGAAAAGGATATTAAATTGTTACTGGTAGAATCTCCAATTGTCCTTTTTTGTTATGAATAAAATCCTTAAAGGGCAGTGTAGTTTGCGCATGCTTTGCTAAGGGCTTTTGGCTTGCTTTCCTCCAGTATTCCTTGTGAATATAAACTCTAGAGGAACTGCAGGAATAACGATTGCTCACAGGCTTCTTCGAGAAGAGCTTGCTGGCGTTTTTTTTCCTCGGGAGTAAGCTCCTTCACCAGCTCGTCGAAGCCGTCGTCTGAGTAGGCCTGTTCCTCGTTCTCCATAAGACCGTCGACTTCCTCGCCAGCAGCTGCTGGTAGTAGTGGCTCTCCAATAATGGAGCGTATATCGTTTGGCAGCGTTTCCGAAGCCTTAAGTTGCAGGTAAATAGCCTCGGCAATCTCCAGAGTCTTCTGCACGTCTATGTTTCCAGACAGTTCGTTTACGTGCTTCAAAATCTCAGTGAATTCGTACTGGCTTTCGATGATGATGCTGGTCTCCTGGTCTAGAATGGCCACCGAGAACAGCAGGTGGAAGTTGGGGCATGGAAGGCGGGTCCACAGGCACTCCCACACCTTCAGAACATCGTCATTGTTAAGCTCCCGCTTGTACCAGACCAGGAGCCATCGGAAACAGAAGTACATGTTGTCCGAGTCGTGGGAACGCATGTAGTTGAACAGCGGAGCATTGGCGAACTCAATCAAGCGACGTATCTGGGCGAACTGTGTCTTCATTCCAGCTTGGTCCATGTCGAAGTTGGTGAACACCAGTTCCATGAAGCCCACGAAACACCAGAAGGCATCCACCTCGTTTACCTGGACCTCCAAAATCGGAGCCAACAGATCCGACATGCCCTGGACATAGCCAAGGTCGAAGTTGTACATCACGTACGTCATAAGGATGCCCTGCAGCAGGGCGATATTCGGATTATCCTCTCCGGCAAAAAACGGAAGCGAGCGATCCGTACGCTTTACATCCTTTTCGATTTGGCACTTGCGCTCGCGGTATCCGCTAAAGTTCGACTCCTGGGCGGTTGTCATGGCTAGCCACTGGGCCTTCATGTTGTAGTATTCGATGGACTTTTGCTTACGTCGGTCGATCCGCTCCACATCAGTGTCCGACCACTTGTAGTAATTGAGCAGGTACTTCCAGACCTCGGACCGCAGGCTGTGAACGATGCCACCACGAAAAACTAACTCCTTGATGCGAGCACTGTCCGAGATCCGGCCGTCTGGCGTTTGGAACTCCAGCCACTGCGTTTCCGTGAGAGGAAGACCTGGAATAGATTTCAGAATGAAATAGATTTCAAGCTAACGAAAGCTATCCACCAACCTCGCTCCACTCTTTGCCGATCGGGCAAGTTGTTAACTATTTTCTCGTCCTGGGAATTGAGGTTCTCCAGTTCGCTATCCCCCGGAGATTTATCCGCGCTGCCACCCCGACTCTGGCCATTGGAAGAGCAAGCGCTGTTGGTGCTGCCGCTTAGGCCAATTATTTGGTAGTTATCCGGAGAAGTTTGCCGGTCCCCCGATATCAGAGCCCCCGGCCTGGATTTGGGCGATCGCTGAAACGGCGGTTGTACATAGTCTGGTATGTTACCCAGAAATCCAGCCAGCTTGTTGGGCAGCCAGCTTTCTCGTGGGGATGGGCTGGACTTTATCTCTCCAATATCCAATTCGGCGAACGTCTTCTTCAATTTCTGGTTCTCATTGGTCAGGAAGGTGTACTCTTCGCCGCCACGATTACTTTCCAAACTTTCAATGAAGTGCTGGTCGCGCATGGCGCGAACGAAGCGATCCGCATTGCCGTGCTGGAAGAAGAACTCGCTGTGAAGGCCTCCGGCTCCTTTACGCATAAATCGTAATGTCTGGCCGCGGTGGCGAACCTCCACGGTGGCCAAATCTTCAAGTGGGGTGCGCATTATCCGGGCACGAGCTGCACCCGCGCCACTAGGTTCGATGGGTTTCGTATTGAAAGCTCGACATTCGGAGGTTGTTCGAGTTCGGCCGGAAATTCTGTCCACCAGCGCCCAGTCGCCCTGATCCTGACTATTGTCAGCTATTATAATTGAATCGTTTGGCTGCCATTCGAGGAACAATTTTCTCCGTGGTAGGGAGTACTCCACCAAGCTCAAGGCTCCACTGGTGTTTAGGTCCGAGATGTGCTCCGCACTGGCCTTCTTCAGAAGGACTCCGTCGTGGGTGAAAAGGTTCTAAATATAGAAAAAGTCGAAAAGAAACACGTAATTAGTAAAATGAGTCAGAAAACGAAACAAAGAAGGGGCTTACGTTGCCAATTCCTTGGGGCTGGATTGGTTGGGCCGGCTGCTCCTCCTCCGCGGAAGAGGACACCTGCGACTCGCCCAGGACGTCCAGTTGGACCACCTGGCACCGGTCGTAGCGTACCGATTCGTTCATGGCCGCCGGTGCTTTGTAAATTTCGAGTTTAAAAAATATTACGCTTTATTTCTGTGGTTTAGAGCTGGAAATAAAATCGATTCTTTTATCGAAACATCGATATTTTTTATGAGCGTCGATATAAGACAGCTTTCTTCAAATAATTTAAAATTGATTTAACAAAGGACAATTTGGAATATTATTCGAGCAAAAAAGATACTTCTTTGATTTAAAATGTCGAAATATGAAAGTCTATAATCCAAAATGAAAATTTGAAAATGAATTAAACCAGTGTTGCAAAACTCACAAATAAAGCAATGCTTCTAAAACTGTAAGCCGTCAGAAATACATGTTTTTGTCCGTTACTGAAAACGTTCTTTTTGTCGTAAAAGAAGACTTTTATATTTTGAAAGAAATAAATTAAAACAGAATGCGTAAATTACATTTAGCTAAAGAATACCACAAATAAAACCAGTTTTTATTGCAAGGTAGATATTTTAAGCAATAACCATAAGAATGAACGTTAGAATAAGAGTTTTATGTTACCTGTTTTTTTTTTTTAAACTCAGTTGCAACATATTTTAAATTTCGCACTTCATGGCCACCAACTAACCCACTCCCACCGCCATCAACTGCGAAATACTCGACCATCAATAAAATATCCCCTCGAGAGCGAAAGTAATTCGCTAAACGCCAAATATTCTCTTCGTAATTCCCATGTCGTAAGAACTGTGATCATTTTTAAATAAGCACACACATATAGAGTTTGTATCTGTTTTGTAAATAGATTAAAAGTGTCCATACTCGTATGATAAAGTGTTGAGGTCTTCGTCGTCAGCCGAATCTGAACGATCGTGGGAAAAGCATCTTCGGTCGATTTTGAAAACTTTTCCCGAGAGTTCAGTTTGCGATAGGACGTCGAAGCAAGCAGTCACCGTTTTCTAAAAAGTTTTTAAATAGAACGAAACATAATCAGAATTTAGAAAATATTTACAGGTGGGTGTTTTACATATTTGTGGAAATCCAAAAGCGGAATAAAGATTTCAAACGTTTTTTAATGTTTGTCATTTGAAACTAGAACAGGAGATTATTTTGAGTTTTTTTCAAAAACAAATCAATGTTATGTTAGATTATATAATAAATGTTAACAAAACTAAATGAAAATATCAACAAATGTTCTTGATCTTTTCATGTAAGCCTTTTTTTTTTAAAGAATTTTTTTTTAAAAAGAAGAAAAGTGAAAGTGTCATTTAAGGGTCACTTGGACGAAAATTAGCTGAGAATCGTAAACAGATCTGGTCAGTGTCACACTTAAATATTCGAATAAAAATACACTCGTTTCTATACGTACAGTTTTTGGTCAGTGGAAAAACATGACTGTATTTATCAATGAATTTTTCAACAAAATGAGAGAGGTGTTTTGTGAAAAAAACATGAAAAACATACTCAGACACCTGAGATGATGGTACGCATCGAGGGAGCATTTTTAAGACCCTTAACAGATTGGTACATATGGTGTGAGAATAGGATTTCCACTAGAATTCCGTCCGATATCTGACGCCCCCAATCTTCTCGCTTTCTCTCACTCTCGCTCTCTGTGCGACATAGCCAAAATATTTGTTTCATTTAATTCGAAAAGAAAACACCAACAGAAAAACCAAAAAACATGAAAATTCATCGACCAGAAATAGCGCCACCCACCGAAAGTTTTGAAATTAAATTGACTTACAGGGTATTTTTAAAACGATTGCCATTATTATGAAGAGCAGAGATGGGCCGTGACATGGCAGACGATTTTGAAACTCATGTTCGGTTTATTTTCAGGATACTATGGAGAAATCAACGAGACCCAAAAGGAATCGTCGTCACAGCAGGTGAGATAAGGGGGTATTCTTGTGAATAAATTAATAAAATAATATTGAACTTTTTTCTAAAGGCGTGCCTGGCCGCCAGAAGATGAACTGCATCCGCCAACCCGTGCCGCCAAGCGTCTGTTTACCCCGGACATCAAGCGAATGTTAAAGGATTGGCTTATCCGACGCCGAGAGAATCCGTATCCTAGTCGGGAAGAGAAAAAACAACTGGCAGCTGAGACTGGTCTAACATATACCCAGATCTGCAACTGGTTTGCCAACTGGAGGCGAAAATTAAAGAACTCGGAGCGGGAAAAGGCCAAGAAGTCATGGGGTCATCTAATCAAAAATTATAACCACAATGCCCGAGGAAATGTTGAGCAGTTTAGCATCTCATCGGAGGACAGTATTTGGGAGGAGGAGATGCGCTCCTGTCCAGCGGAGGATGAAGACAACTACTACGATGATGACGAGTTGTCCAGTCACAGCACTGGCAGCGATGGAAATGCTAACAATGCATCCACCTCCGCGTACAAGCCCAACTTTTATGTGGAATCTGCGGATTTGGAAGAAAGGATACCCCTTTTGACCACTGTGGCTGCGGGAAAAGCCAAGTATAAGCACCAGATGATGGAGAAGTACCTGCGCGATAGCTCTACAGTGGAGGACGAAGTCCCTAAGCCTGCAACTCAACTTAATAAGTGGCTGGAAAGTGCAGCCAAGTTCACACCCGATCGAAATAACTATCACATTGAGTGGAATACAAACAGGTGAGTCGGAAAAGGACTAACTAACCAGTTCCATTAATAATATTATCCTTATTAAAGACAAAAATTGAATGGCAATAATGGGCAGGATCGACATAACCAGAGTCAAGTAATCTTCACCAGCGATGCAACGGCAGCGGCGGCGCTCGATGATCGCTGGATGCTTCACCACAAGGATGAGCTCGATGCCGCTGAAGCTCTGGCCAATATGGCCTTCAATTGTAGGCAACGCTGGCACCATCAAACCACCACGATCAGCTCCTGAGCACCACCGAAGAGTTGCTGCAACTGACGCCATCATTCCAGCAGAAGTTTCATGCCCCTTTGGAAAGTGCAATCTAGTCATAAAGTTTCGGAGAACTCGTCGAATAGTTAAAGAATTTTTAGCAGCTAGTTTAGTATGAAAGACAGAATAACATTTTCACTTTTGTTGTTATTTAACAAATGCTATTTTATTACTACTCCTTGGTTTCTTCCTTGGACTCTTCCGCTGAATCCTTAGCTTCGCCTTTAGCGTAAACATCTAGGACCTGAACAAAGCTGTTCTGATGGGCCTGAAGCTGCTGGACAAGGTTGCCAGCTGCTTGGTTGAGAGTCTGGACGAGCTGCGCCTGGGCAGCCTGCAGACCTGGCATCTGAGCGTAGGCCATAAGCTCGTTTCTGCTCAGCAGGGTGTTCTCCACAATTCCTCCAAGCAGCACCATTTGAGGCACCCGGCGTGTGATCTTCAGAAGAGTGGACACACGCTGTTGATCCGGGGAGAACACGATGCAATGGTTCGAGTGAAACAGTGGCATTATGGCCTCGTAGCGAGTATCCTTAACAGCCTGCCCAATGATCTTACGGCCGTAGGATTTAAGATGGAGGTTCTGTTTGTGCAGGTCAACCCTCACTCGGAAGATTTCATCGGAGGTAATGGAGTTCAGGTGGAAGATGGCCACCAGCTGGGAGTGTTCAAGCCAGTTGCGCACTTCCCTTGCTATAATATCGTTGTAGGGATTCTCAACTTGTTCTTGAAAACGCTCAGCCCTCTTTTGAAAGCATGTTTTAGACTTGGGAGCTTCCGGGTATTTTGGTTGGGTTACGGCTATCACACGGGCTCGCTCATAATGCGGCTCTTTGGGACGTTGTATGTTGATTTTTCCTCTGTAGCGTAGGAATTGCAGCGCAGGTGTACTGGTTTTTGTCAGGGGAAGCGCTAAAAACAATACAAATCAGTAAATAATCTTCCAAATTCAAAGCAAGTGTCGTGGAAGTTACACAACAAATGCAATTAAAAACCCTGAATTAAAAACAAGTCAGCTGGTTGAAACTCACTCTTCTGTATCAAGTTCGCCATCTCTGAATGTTCTTGGGTGTTCCTTTGAAGACTAAAACTATTTCAATTAGCCAAATAAGTGTTTTTAATATTAAAACCCAAATAAAAACACCTTGCGGCTAAATAAACCAGGGGCGACAAAAAATACAGGGTGGCAACACCGGTCCATAGTGCTGCCGGAAATTACAAAGTTATCGATAACAAAGGTGTGTTGTAAAAGAACAAAAATATTGTGCGCGAAAATTTGAATTGAGGAACCTATTACTGTCAGACCTAGAAAATTAAATTCAAAAACTTTGTTTTGAATCTAAAGAAGAATTAAAATACTTCCCAGACCCTAATTGTTCTAAAAAGAAAACCCAGAACATCTGCATAGGTATAGAATTTATTTAATTACAGTTATAACATTAACATCTATATATATTATGTATATATGTATGTATAAGTTGCATTTCGCTAATGGGTTTTCGACTTGATGGCTTTACGGGCCGAGAAATATAGAGATAGAGACAGTAGAAATCGGTATATGTGAACAACCATCAACTGTTTTAAGGTTTTCCTTTTTTTTCTTTTTGTTTTTGGAGTAGAGGGAAAATATTATTCAGAATGCAGAAATAAAAAAACAAACAAACAATTGTAAGAAATAAGTGTAATTTAATCGGTTTCTTCAAAGTAACTTAGGAAATAACTAAAAAGTGTCTTAAAACATACAACTTATACATTAACATATGTTTAACAGCGCTTCATCTGTTTCAACTTGAAAAATGTGTTGGTTTACTTGCTGCTTTTCTTTTCTTCTTCTTCTTCTTTTTTTTAATTATATTTTTTAATTTTCTTTTTTGTTTACTATTTTTTTTTTTTTTTTTTCTGATCGGTTTCCGTTTCTGTGGGATCTCTGGTAGATCTGATCTTTCGTGTTCTCGTATTGTTAATTGTGTTATATAATGTACAGTTTCTCTTTAGTTTAGTTTTAAAACATACAACTAAATACGCGCTAAACACTAATTAAACTGTATTTACATTTCATATTCGTTAGAATCTAAATAATTTAAATATTTTACAGTTGTGTTTTTGTTTTCTTTACTTTAATTGTGTTTTTTCTCATCTTTTGTTTTTCTTTTTTATATTTTTTATATCATTTTATCAATGTTTTTTTTTATTATTATTATTCTGTTGTCACATAATTTACAAGTGGGCGTGAGAACGTACGTTTAAGTTTAAGGAGTGTTCAGAGAGAGGGTTACTATATAGGTTATTGTATCATATAGTGTGTGTTTTTGGGGTATTTTTATGTTAAGGTTTCTCATGTAGGTGTGTTGTCAGCATTTATTATTCGTATAATGCGGGGCCCTGAAACTGTCCAACATTTTACAAAGTCTCCCGGCTCCAATAATTCAACTGAGGGGGATTGCGGCTCGGAACGCCCTGAATTGGTTGGTCATAGTCCGGTGTTTTTATGTTTTAAAAATTATATAGCTTTAGTATTGTGGTGGCAGTGGTGGTGTTTTGTTTTATAATGAAATAAAGGAAAAAAAATCGAACAGAAAGAAACAGATTTTCGTAGGACAACCAACAAAAATTACCAACAACAACAATGTGGTCTTGAAATCTGACTACATCCGTTGCTGGAATTTTTGAAAAGTTATATTGAAGAAAAAACTCTGGTGCAGAGCGGAAATTACAACACGAACCGTGTCTAAGCTTTAAAATATTTGGCTTAACATATTGGATTATATTTAGTTACGCGTCTAGATAATGTAATATAAATGTAATGCATAATGTATACGTGTGTATGTTATCGTAGGAAAAGCCTCTGGGCGCATCTTTAAACCTAGTTGTGCTTGACAGCAGGGCGATAAGACCAGACCGTAGTATCATCTGCAGTTCATTGGGTCTATGCCAGGCCCTGTTCTTAATTATATATAGATATATATTTTTTTTTTGAAAGACAGGCATTCCATAGAGCCAAGGAACCGATTAAGAAATAAAAATTGAAGAAAACTAATCTTGAGTTGATCAAAGGCATGGAATACTTTGTAAAATGTGGAACAGTAACTATTTTAGTCCCACCGGAAGTAGTCGAAAGTTACTCGCCAATCAAAAACTTAAACGTGTTTTTAGGGGGATAGAGGATCGGATATTCATATTATGTGTATGGGTAGTAGTATGCATAGTACAGATAAACAGTTATTATTTTTTAAGCTTTTCTTTAACATTTCATATTTTTTTTGTTTGTTTTTTTTTGTGTGTAATGTGTGTGTTTGGATTGTTCTCATTTTTTATGTTATTTTTTTTTCATTTTAAATTAAGCAAAAATAAAACTTTCATTCTTGAGATCAAACTTAACGATACTTTGCAAGCTTGTTAAAGGGTTTTTTTTGTTTTCCTTTTTTGTTTAAATAGTTTTTGTTTTGTATATTTTTTGTTTGTTTTTAAATTAGAAAAAATTGTAAATAATTAATTGTCTCGCTTTTTTTTGCTTTCAAAGTGCGGGGGATCTGATCTGAAGGTATTTTTTTAAGGTTTTGCTTTCTTTCAAGAACTCTTGAGTTTCAAATCTCAAAATCTTTTGAGTTTTGTAATTTTTCTCTGCTGGCATCTGTTTGTTGTTGTTGTTGTTTTTATTCAATAAAGTGTTTTTTTTTGCATTTTTCTGCGTTTTAAGTTCGTTTTGTTTTGCTTTGCTTTTTTAAACTTTTGCTTGTTTAATCGCTATTTAAAATTACTTAAAATACTAGAAGAGCGTAACTTGTTTTTGCTTCCATTCTTTCGGTTCTTCAATCTTTTTCTGTTTCTATTCCGTGGTTTTAGTTTGTCTCTTCCTGTGGTTTTATTCCAAATCCGGTTATAGATCAAGTCCGGTATTAGTCTGTGTCCTTTACACAGTGGCGATGACGATCAGGAGATGTGCCAACTCGGCCACACGATTCTTGAGATCGGGGGCGGCTCGCTCCAGGTTCTCGTTGGCGAAGTCGCAGGCCGGGAAGATGTGCACCACATAGGCCGCCTGCTCGCTTCCCGGTATGGGTATGTTTACGATACCGGCGGCCATTTTCTGTTGCAGGTAGGTGATGAATCCAGTTTGTAGGTTCCGCGAGTGCTGCAGCACATCAGCATGGTCGCGTCCACAGGGCAAGGCCAAAAGCATGCAGTGCTCCTTATCCACCTGGGTTACCAAAAGGGTATAGATTAGTTTCAGTTATCCTAGTTAGTGACTATTGCTATACATACCTGCATTTTCTTGGCCACTCCCTCTAGCTGGGTCTGCTCCAGTCGCATTCTCTGCGCAATCCTGAGCAGCGGCGTGCTCGTATCCGCCAAGCTGGGCAGCGAAGCTCGCGCCACATTCGGATTGCCATGGACGAAGTGCATCTGGACGGCAGCCTGATCGGTCTTCAGGGCCAACAGACCCTGCCACATTACAGGGTAACGCTGCAGCAGGGTAATTAGAGAATCACCAGCTGGTGGGGGGATGGCCGGCGGTGCCTGTTGGGCAGAGATCTCCAGGCCGGCGTGCAGGCCCGGTGGCAGATGCTCCTGCTGCTGTTTAACTAGAAAATCGAAGAATACTGAAGTCTCAAAAGGTTCTCCTTGATGTGAACAGGTGTAGTACTCACCAGCTGCTGCAATCATGGACATGCGCTCCATCTCACGCTCATCCAGCTGCATCTCTATCGGCTTGGAAGGATGCAACACCCCATCGCGACCGATGAACGGACTGGTGGAAACGGCGGGCATTGGTGGGGGCACCACCACACTGATGGAGGCAGCTGGTCGATGGGCTGGCGGTGGTTCCAGCTGTATGCCGCCACCATCATAGTAGCCCGTGGCCCGCGTGGCCATGTCGCTGAAGTGAGCCGGAGGAATGCGAGCATTGTGGACATAAACCTGAGCCATTTGCGGGGAATCTGGAGAAACAGATGCCTTAGGAACTGATACTATTATGGACATACTATTCAACCTACCCGCTGCTGTGCGATCTTGTGGACTCTGCAGACTATGCGGCACTGCAATGGTCCTGGGTGGCCCGCTGCCAGGTCGCCTGAGTTCCAATGGCGGACTGCTTTTGTCATCGTAGTCGCCGCCACGCATCAGGTGATGCTGGTAGATCATAAACTCCCTGGGCGGAGGCACTCCTCGGTACGTGGAATCGTTCTGCAATTAAAATATTAAATATTAGTTTTATAATAAAAGTACCCTGGCAGTGGATTGGGTTTCTAAGTGACTCAGACTAAGATAGTTGGGGTTGGCAATTGGGTTACGCTACTTGAAAGCTCCGCAAGTAAAACTTGTGCATTACCGGTGTTATGGGCGATGCCTGCTGATGGGCCGGAGGCGGACTCTGGGTGCGCCGTCCACTGACATAGGCGCCCAGGTCATGCTGCGTCCATGAAGGCAAATTAGGGGATTGGTAGATTAACGGTAATGGTTAGTATAGAAGCAGTATTTTGAGAGACAACCGAAAGCATAAACCAAACTGAAGTAAAACCGTACTGGAGTTCTTGGAAAACTTACCAAACTGGCATCAAAGGCAGGCACTCCGGTCATCACCGGAGGCATAACCAGCGGCGACACCCTGGGCTGACCTTGCGGACTGATGTTCGGGATGGCCGTGCGCAAGACTGCAAGGAAATGGTCATTGATTAGATCCGTTTGTGGACTATAGCTCATCATAGTCAACTTACCGGCTGCTGCTGCTGCCGAGTTCACCTGCTGCTGAGCCGATTTCAAGACGGCAGCGGAGACCGGCGGCGGGCTACCCACATTTACGGGCAGGATTTGGCCAGCCTGCAGGCTGTGAACCACAGGATTGGGTTTTCCCGGCGGTGGCGATGGCGTAAGCTGGTGCTGCTGCGGCTGCAGATGGGCTGGAGGCTTCTGCTGCAGCAACAGGGCCGGATGCGTGGGCAGTATCATCCCGTGGGGAGGTATCTGGACCGGAGCACCCTTCTGTTGCTGGTTGGGCGGCTTGTAGAGCTGCTGTTGCTGCACCACGGCTGCCGTGGAGGTGGGTGGCGCATAGCCAAAGTTGGGCTTGGCCATTTGCAGATGAGCTCCCGCCGAGGATGTGGGCGGCGGTGTGGCTGCCACCGAGGCCTTCGAGCTGACCACATGCAGGATCTGCTGCGGGGCGGCCGAAGTGGCCTGCTTGATCACCAGCGTCTGCGGCTGCGGTTGCTGTGGGTTTCCAGCGACTCCAGCTCCCTGGCCGGCTATCCTGGGGGAGTGCGGCGAGTGGGCCGTCGGCGGGGGCACGTTCACCATCAAGTGCTGCTGCTGTTGCTGCTGCAGATGGCGAGCTATCATCTGGTTGGGCTGCAGTAGTTGCTGATTGCCGGCGGCATCCGTCAGCAGCATGTGGCCCGGAAGCGGTTGTTGGTTAGCTCCTGGCTGTTTCGTGGGTGTCATCTGTTGCTGCTGTTGTTGCTGCTGCTGGAGATTCTTCTCCCGGTTCAGGACATGGGCCTTGAGGGGCTGCGGTGGCCGCACATTAGTGTGCTGGGCATGTTGCAACACCGTCGGCAGCGGACTCTGTTGGATCACAATCGGCTGCTTCGGCGGCACCACCATTTGCTGTGGCGGCTGCTGCTGCTGGATCACCATCGGGTTGGGATTGCCCTTCACCAGCACGCTCACTGGCTTGTTCAGCTCCAGTTGGACGGGCTTGCCCAGGGAAGTGATCGGAGTGGTGGCCGGGGCAATGACTGTGGCACTGATCTGCTGCAGACCTGGCTGGTTCTGTTGGGGATGCTGCAACGGCAGGTGGGGCTGCTGCTGCTGCTGCTGGTGGAGGTGCTGCTGTTGCTGCTGCTGGAAGTTGTTGGCCGGGCCCAGAGGTCCCATGTCACTGCTGCTGTTGGCCGAGGCAGCGGCCGTAGCTGCCGGCAGGTTGCCCTCCTTGCCCTGCGGCATGCCGGCTGTGATGACGCCCGTGACTGGATCCACCAGAGCCTTGCTCACCGCATCGGCTGCTCCGCCCGTGATCTTCTGGGTGGCCGGCGCTGCTGTCTGGTGCATCGGCAGGCCGCCGCTGGGTATGGACGAGTTTATGGCCTGGTAGGATTCGATCTCTGCCGCGGCAATGGCCTTCTTCTTGGGATGCTGAGGCATGGTTGGCTTTGGAACTGGCATGGGCAGGGAAACGGGCACTGGAACCGGTACCGACACCGGCACGGGTGCCGCAGAGACGGGCACCGACACCGGAGTCGGAGTCTCCACCTCCTTGCTGTCCAGCCGCGGCATGTGTGCTGGCGGCTGTTGCTGCTGCACTGGCTCGGGCGTTGGTGGCAGATGCACAGGAGCCGCTGGAGCAGCCGGAGGTGTGGGATTGCCAGCCACTGGTGGCTCCTCCATCATAGACGGCATATCGGTGATGGTCTTCCTGTCCTTGAACCGCCTGGGGCGGCCCACAGAGTTCGGTGGCTGGACCACATCGACCTTCTTGGCCTGGGCATTCCTGCCGGAGCGTCGCGGCGGCGTCTGGGCGCCCTTGGGAAGCTGCTGGGCATTGCCGGTCGGGGTGTTGGTGTTCCGGACCACATCCTCGATGATGTCATCCACGGTGCTGCGATCCTCCTTCTCCTGCAGGCGTCGCGACTTGCGGGTGTTGCCCAGCTCTGAACTGTCGCCCGAAGGATCCGCCGACTGGGACACGTCACTGCCAGCCTGCTCGGGATCGGTGGCGCTGTTCTTGATCGAGGGCTGGGTCTTGTTGATGGTCAGTATGAGCCGCGGGCGCTGGTCCTCGCCAGGCGCCATGGCGCTGGAGGCCGCTGCCTTGCCCTTTCCGGGCTCATCGCCCGCATCCTCGTGGAACTCGTAGATGTCCTGGCTGCTGCTGCTGCCGCTCATCTGCTCCTGTACTTGCGTGATGACCTGGTTGATGGCCTTCTTCTCGGCAGCCGTCAGCACAACAGTGGGATTCGGGTTGGGAGTGGCCACAGGTGGTGTGGCAACTGGTGGGGTAGCCGCCGCTGCTGCTGCGGCTGCTGCCAGCTGTTGCTGTTGGATCTGCTGTTGCTGTAGGAGGAGATTCCTTGGCGGACGACCCTTCCGGCCGCGGGTGACGGGAGCAGTGACCGGCTTTCGCAGTCGGGTCTGGACTCCGTTGTCTCCTGGCTGCAGGCCCAGAGCAGCATCTGCCCCAGGGGCAGCCAGCGATGGTGTCGTTAGCGGAATGCCTCCTTGCTTCTTGACGCCTCGAGGTTGTCGTCCGCGCTTGGTTGCTCCTCCTCGTCCCGGTGGCCTGCCCACTGTCGGCGTGGACAGCTTCACCGGCGGCAGCTGTCGCGTTTCCGTTTCATCCTCGGTGTCGTGGTCATTGGAGCTGTTCACATTCGCCAGGAGGGTCTTCTCCTGGTTGGCCATATCCACCAATGCTGGATTGGCGACCGGAACTGGCTGTGCTGGTGGTGCTGCTGGAGCCACATCCTTGCCAGCGGCCGGAGGCTCGAGCTTCTTGATCACACTGTCGATGTTCACCTCCTTGGCGGACCAGTAGTCGCTGTCCACCTCCTTGGAGTCCTGCTCGATGAGCTCATCCTGCTTCGGCTGCGAGATCTTGATGAGATTCTCCTCCGTCAGCAAGGACGCAGCTCCTGGCCCGGCCTTGGGCGAGATGACTGCCGAGCTGGTGGTGGGGGTGGGGGTGCGTATGACCGAGACACTCTCGGAGGTCTTCAAAGTGGCCAGCATTGCTGCTGACTCCCCATGGCCCGGCGGAGCTGGCTTCTCGTTGGCCTGGTTCGGCGGATAGTGAATGGCGTTGGTGGTAGTGGTGTGTCCGGCTGCTGGTGGTGGTGGCGGGCCAGTCACCTGGCTCGGTGGCGGCACAATGTGCTGCTGGACAATCAGCTTTGGAGCACTCTGGATGACGTTGAGTGGCGTCGGATGTGGCAGGCTAGCGCCAGGAGAGGCTTGTTGCTGCTGCGGCGAGTGCTGTGGTGGCGGCTGCAACGACTGCTGGGGTCCAACCCTCGACAGGATTGCTGTAGGCTGTCCTGGCAGTGGGTTCGGCTTGGTAGGTGGACTATGAGGCAACTGTTGCGGCTGCTGTTGTGGCGGTCCACCTCTGGGTGGAGCATGCGGGCCAAGATGCTGCTGCTGAGGAGGTTGTTGGGCAAACATAGGAGTTTGTGGCACCAGATGGGGACCTCCCTGGGGCGACGATTGCTGCTGCTGCTGTTGCTGCTGCTGTGGCACATGGATCTGCTGCTGCTGCAACTTCTGGATATGCAACTGCTGCTGCTGGTTGAGATGCTGCTGCTGGGCCTGGTGCTGCTGGTTGAGCTGCTGCTGCTGGGCCTGGTGCTGCTGGCTGAGCTGCTGCTGTTGGGCCTGGTGCTGTTGGTTCAACTGCTGCTGGGCCTGGGTCTGCTGCTGCTGCAACTGATGTTGCTGGACAGGAGTCAGTGGCTGGGGCTGGCCATGCATGCGCTGCTGCTGCTGCTGCTGTTGGATCTGCTGGTACTTTTGCTGTTGCATGATCTGCTGGTGCATCAGGTGCTGGACGTGCTGCTGGTGTGCCGCCATCTTGGCCATCATCTGGGGCGAGTGCTGCTGCTGCTGCTGTTGCTGGGCCTGGTGGTGTTGCTGCTGCTGCTGGCCGCTGACATGGAGGTTCTTGTGCGGCGGCAGGCTGCCCAGAGGCGGTGAGCTTGCCACCTGCGACTGGGTCGCCTGCTGCGGCTGCACCGTCACCACCTTGCTGATGATGGTCGGGTGGTGGGGCACTGCCATGGGCGGCATCTTCTGCAGCGGCACAGGGATCAGTTGCGGCGACGTCTGCAACTCAATCACCGACTTGGGCGAGGGCTGTTGGGGCTGCTGGCTCCTTGGCTGGTAGCTGTTCGGCTTGCTGGTGGTGGGCGAGCTGTTGGTGGCCACCACCCGAGCCGTTGGACTGGCCAGTGGACTCATGTTGCTGCCCTGCGGGCTGGTCATCAGGGCGTGCTGCTGTGGCTGCTGGTTAACCACTGGCTGCTTGCCGGCGGGACTCAGTGGACCCACCAGGCGACTGGGCGCTCCACCACGTCCTGGCGACAGCAGAGGACTGTGCGGCGACGGAGCTCGCATGCCCAGGACATAGGATCCTGGGATGGGCTGTTGGTGCGGTGACAGTACCATCTGCGGCACCGCAAAGTGGGGTGTGTTGTCGGGAATCGATATAGTTGGTGGCTGCATGATGAGCGACTGCGTCCGGAGTGGCTGCTGCGGCCCTGGAGGAGGTGCCTGCTTCGGTGTGGAAGCCTGCGGCATGATGTTCTGGCCGGGAGTGGTGGGACTGCCGAAGGACATGGAAGCGGACGCTGCTGGCGAGGCTGTGCAGGAGCTGCTGCTTCCAGACCCAGAGCTGGAGCTGGAGCAGTTGCCCATCACATTGGACAGGTCCAGATTGATGACGGGCGTGGCATGGGTGGCAGGAGTGGGAGCCGGCAGCACAGTCTGGACCGGTTGGACCAGAGGCTGCAGCAGCTTGCTGATGGTCGGCGGTTCTATCTTCGCCGGCGAGGGCACCGCACTGGCCACTGGCTTCTGCGGCTCCAGGGACGGCAGCTTGGTGATCACCGAGGGCTGCGGCTTGGCACTCTCCTGGCTGGGCTTCAGAGGCTCCACCTTGACTGGTGCGGATGAACTGCTCGTGTTCGTGTCCATGGACTTCTCCGGCGAGGAGGTGCTCTGGGCCGTTTCGTCGATCTTCAGGCTGGGGCCACTGCTGTCCGCCTCGTCGGGGTTCTCCTCCGTGTCGGTGTCGATCTGCAGACCGCTCTCCGACTGCGGCGTGTCCGCCTTGATGTCCATCATGTCCTCGTGCCGCAAGCTCTGCACCGCCTTGTTCAGCTCGTCGGGATCCAGTACTCCGGCGGGCTGCTCGGGCTCCGGTTCGGGCTCGTTCTCCGGCTCTGGCTCCGGCTCGGGCGCTGCCTCTGGCTCCGGTTCTGGTTCGATCTCCTCCAGTATGGGCACCGGTTCCACAGCACCCTCGATCGCCTTGGCTGCCAGAGCAGCTTCCTCGTCCGGCTCGGCGAGGACCAGAGGAGGCGCCGGTGTATCCACCTCACTCACCGAGTTCATCTCATCCATGCCGTCGAGGGAGTAGTCCGCCGTGGAGGAGGTGCCGAAGCTCTCGCCCAGCAGGGCGGACACGGCGCTCTCGGTCTCCTCCTGCGAGATCGTCACCCGCGACTTGGTGTCTTCCATCTTCTCCGGGGGCTTGACGGCTCCCGGTGGCGAGGCCACTGGGATCTTGGGCTCGTCCGCCAACGGGTCCAGCAAGGTGCTGGAGTTGAACTCCGCCGAGATGGACTGGACAGCAGACTCGCTAATCCTGTCATCCAGCTGGCCGTCGAACCCGGGAATGAAGTTGTCCTTCTTCTTGTTCTGGCCGGTGGGGGATGAGGTTTCCACTCCGGCCGACTCGCTGGCCGCTGCCGCTGCTGTCGAGGATGTGGGCGTGGTGGCCAGAGCCGACGAGGCACCCACGCCGGCGCCACTGCTGACGGGCGTCTCCGCCGACTGGGTGGACAGCATGGAGCTGTTGTTGGCCGTGATGGTGGGCGTCTTGGGTATCGGACTGATGAGGCGCGGCTTCTCACGCGACGGCGTCACCAGGCTATCGTTGGAGGCTCTATTCGTGGGCGTGACGGGCGTCTTGGGAGCCGGGACCTTAGGAGCCGGCACCAGGACATCCTCATCATCGTCCCCTATCAGGCAGGGCAGGCTGGGCGATGGCTTGCACATCGGAGGCGACGAGGGACGCTGCTTGGTGGTGGTCTCCATCATCTGCTCCTCCGCGTGCTTGCTGGCTGCTTGGACGTTGACGGTCAGCTTGCCGGGAGTGGGTGGAGCGGCGGATGAGTTGCAGGCCACTACTGGAGGCTGCGACTCGCGGCGATGCTGTTGCTTCTCCTCCTTGGACCGCTTCTTCTTCTTCTTCTTGTCGCGGCTCTTGTGCTGCTCCTGCTGCTCGGATTTGCCCGATCCCTTGGGTATGATCTCCACGGAGTTGTTGTCCTCGTTGTCGGAGAAGCGGAACACGTCCGCCATGTCCGAGCGGTAGGTGGTGGCAGTCGATGGAGTGGCCTCCTCGGGCATCGGCTTGTCAAAGTCGATCATTAGCTGCGCCTCCAGCGCCCTGCCCGCCTCGTCCATGTCCACGCTGTTGTCGTCCTCCATCTTGGACTCCATCTTCGAGGAGAGCTGCTGCTGTTGCTGGAGCTGCTGCTGCTGTTCTCGCTGGGATTTCTCGCGCCGCTTCTTCTCGCGCTTCTCCTTGCGGTGGCGCTCCCGCTCGGCGTGCGACGATGAGCTGCTGCCACCCGCCTGCCGGCTCTTGTCCACCGGGTGCTGCTGTTGCTGCAGCTCGTCCGGGACTGGCAGAGCCACCTCTTGCTTGCTGGGCGTCATGGGCTCCTGCTTGTAGGTCTGCAGGGCAGCCGACACAGTGGGTCCCGCAATGGACACGCAGCTGGCCGAGATCTCCTTGTGATTGTCGCTCTGCTCATCCGGGAACTGGGACTCCTCCTCGTCCGAAATGATGCCGAAGATGTACTCCATCTTGTCCTCGCCCCGCTTCGACTGCTGGGGTGGAATCGGTGGTGCCGAGGTGGGTGTGGCGGGCATGGGAGACGCCGTCGGCATGGCTCCCGCGCTGGAGTTGTACAACCTGGCGCCGGAGGAGGTGTCCAGGCTCTTGGACTTCTTCGACTTCTTCAGCCGGTGGCGCTCCTCCTTGGAGAGCTTCTCGGATGTCACATCAATGGGTGTGGCGGAGTTGGCGGTGGAGTTGCCGCCAATCGCTGTGGTGGCACTGTTGGCCTCGGTGAGATTCCTCAGCTTCTCGCGCTTCTTCTCCTTGCGCTCCTTGTGCTTGCGCCGCTCGCTGGCCGAGATGTCCATGGCCAGAGAAGGGTTCTCCGTTTTCAGGTCATCGAAGGAATCGAATCGCACCTTGCAGTCGCCGGCATTCGAGGATGTTGGGGTGTTCGTATTGGGGGTGTGGACGTCAAAGATCGAGGGTGTTGAGGGCGTCACCACCAGAGGCGTGGGAGGAGCCGAGGACTCCACCGTGGACGAGGACTTCAAGCGCTTCTTGCTCTTCTTGTGCTTCTTGCGCGTCTCCGGGGAGTACTCCTTCAGCTTGCCCGAGTCGGAGTAGGTATAGCTGGAGGAATTGTAGAAGTCTCCATACTCCTTCTTGATCTCCCGCTCCGCCTTCACCTTCCGCTCCTCCATGGATGAGTTGGAGTCGTGGCGGGACTTGAACTTCTGCTCGTTGTCCGACAGCTGCTCCTGTTTGATGAGCTGCTCCGGGGTGGGTATCGGTGTCGGCGTGGGAGCGGGCTCCTGTTTGATGACCACTTCCGGCGGTGGCTGGGACTGCGACTCCGAGTCGGAAGCTATCCGGGTGGAGTGCGAGTTCCGCTTGCCCATAAAGTTGTGCTTCAGGACAGTGCGCCGGATCTCGTCCTCGGACGTGTCGTCACCGTCGCACAGTCGCCGCAGGTTCTGCATTTGGATGGCTCGGTTGGCATCCGACATGGACTCACCCTGCTCGGGATCTCCCTGCTCCACCTCCGAGTCGGAGAAGATGCGCCGCTGCATGCGACCCTCGCCCTCCTCGTCCTCGTCGTCGCTGCTGGAGAGACCAGGATAACGGCCATGGAAGCTGCTGCTGCCACTGTTCCGATGATGACGGTCCTCGAACTCGGTGTCAGAGTCGCCGTCGTAGCTGGTGGAGCGCTTCTTCTTGGCCCGGGACTGCTTCAGCTGCGAGAACTTGGCCTTGATCTTCTTCTCCTCCGCCTGGCGCTGCATGTTCTTGCAGCTCCTGGCCTTCACCTTGTCGTACATGGACACGTTGGGACAGTCATCGGGTATGTCGAAGATCGAGTGCTTCTTGGAGGCATCGTCCGTATCGTCGGAGTCCGCTGAGCTCAGCATCATGAGCTTGATGCGCGAGGACTTGGAAGAGTGGTGGCCTTCATCCGATCCCCGGGACGACTTGCGCTCCAGACTGCGCCGGTGGTGGTGGTGATGTGGTTTCCCGCTGGACGTGTTCGTGGCCGCTGAGCTGAGCTCTCCCGCCGAGCCACTGCCCGCCGCCGAAATTCTGCGGTGCGGTGGATGCTCCTCGTCCGTATTCGTGGACTCGGCCACCGAATGGCGTTTCTTTTCGCGGTGGTGATGGTGCTCACGCTTGCTCTTGTGCCTCGAGCTGCTTCCATGGCCATGATGGCCACTGGAGTGCTCTCTATCCTTCTCCCGTTTCGGCTGGGACGGCTGCTCCTCTTCGCTGGTGTTCAGTTGCTGCTTGGGATCCAGAGAAGCCACCACTTCCATCGAGGGCACCGTCTCCAGGGATGAGCTGCTCTTCTGGTGGTGCTTTTCGCGGCGGTGATGCTTGGAGGAGGAGGACTTGGAGTTGGACGAGCAGTTGTTCTTCTCATCCTTGGACGAGCTGCTGGTCTTGTGCTCCTTGTGCTCCTTGGAGTCCCGCCGGTCGTTCAGTCGCTGGTTGCTGTTCTGGGTTGCTGCGTTCTGCTGCGAATTCTCCATCCGGATGCGCTTCACATAGTCGTCATGGTGGTTCTGCTGGCTGGACGAACCGCCACCAGCACCACCACTATGGTTGCTGTCCTGCGAGCTGAGGCGTCGCTTGTGCATCCGCACTGGCGAGTTCCGCGATGACTTCCGGGACCGGTCTTTGGAGGAGTTCTCGGCTGTTGTGGGAGTACTGGCCGCTGCTGGAGGAGCCACCGCATCCACGGAGTTCTCCTTGTTGTGCTGGCCATCCACAGAGGAGGCGCCAGAGGACTGTTGCTGGGAGGGATTGTTGTTGTGGGCATAAAAGCTGCTGGCCTCGGAGCTGGCCTCCGACTTGCTCTTGTGGTAGGTGGAGAGCTCTCGCATTCTGGCCATGCGGGCTTCCTGCTGCTCTCGCTCCCGCTGCTCCTTCTCACGGAGGAGCTCCTTTTCCCGCTGCTCCTTCTCGTGGAGTTCCTTCTCCCGTTGCTCTTTCGCTCGGAGGAGTTCCTTCTCGCGCTGCTCTTTCTCCCGCAGCTCCTTCTCCCGTAGCTCCTTCTCGCGCAGCTCCTTCTCCCGCTGCTCGCGCTCCTCCTTCTCTTTTTGTTCCTTCTCCTCCTGGACTTTTCGCTCCTTTTCCCTCTCGCGCTCTTCTTTGGCCTTGCGTTCCTCCTTCTCCTTCTCCTCCTGCAGAGCTTTGCGCTCCTTCTCCTCCCGTTCCTGCTGCTTTCGGAGCTCCTTCTCCCGCTTCTCTCGCTCCAGGCGCTCCTTCTTCTCGCGCTCCTGCCGCTGCTCCTTCTCGGACTTCTCCGCCGGCTCCTCGGAGTCGCTGGAGTCGTCTTCGATGCGCGGAGTGGCCGACTTGGAGGACTGCGACGTGGCCGAGTTCTTGCGCTTGTCGGAGGAGGAGGAACTCTTCTCGGACTTCTTGGTCTTCTTCTCGCCCTCCGACCGGTTGTTGTGCTTGTGGCTGGACTTGTCCTGACTCTTCTTGGAACTGGAGGACTGCGACTGCGACTGGGAGGCGGATGCAGTGGCCGATGAGGACGCACTCTTCTTCTGCTGGTGCTGATCTTCCTCGCTGCTGGGATTTGGCTTTTGTACATGGATGTTAGAGGAACTAGTACCGCTGGACGATATGGATGCAGCTGCTGGGCCACTGGAGGACGCGCTGCTGCTGGTGGTGGTGCCCACATTGGTGCTCCCAGGCACTGACGCCGACTTCTGGAGTTGCGCCCGAGCCGGGGACTGCTGCTGAGGATTGGCATCGGGCACGCTCAGGCTCTTTGTGAGAGAACCCCACCGGCGGCCACTGGAGTGCCCGGCAATCGTGGATGCTTGGCCATTTCCGGAGGCGGTGGTGGCGCCGGCTGCACTGCCGGTGGTGGTGCTGCCGTGTTGGGCAATGGCGGGTGGCTGGGAAACGGATACTGCAGGCCTTTGGTGGGGCCCGAGGGCGAGGACGACGGTGCACTGCACGCTGTCACTGCTCCACCGAGTCCTCCCGGTGCCGAGGGCTTGTTCAGCTGGCCGAGATTAACGCTTCCGCCCACCGAGGGCGACGGCGAAGGACTGTTGTAGGGCGACATCGACGCCTGGGGAGAGTTCATCGGTGAGAGGCTGCTCAGTCGCTGGAGCAGGCCTCCCGTCTTGCTGCTCGCCCCGCTGCAGTTGCCGATGATGGGCGTCGTTTTGGTGGCCGCCAGATTGGGCAGGGCCGGTGAGGTATTTCCGCTGGGATGTCGGGACGCACCGGCACCACCCAAGGTCGAACCAATCAGGGTAGAGGAACTCGATCCCAGGGCAAAGTCCGAGCTGGCCGGATCGAACAACTGGTTCTTCTTCAGGCGCTGGTAGTCATCGTCGAAGATGCTCTTCTTGGCCAGCACCGACTTCACAATGTCCGATGGCTGGAGCTCATCGATGTCGAGGAACTTGTGCCGGGAATTGCTCGTCGTGCTGGAGGTGGTGCCGCTGGAACTGTTGCTGTTGCCGGAGCCGGAGCTGGGTTGGTGGGAGTTGAGGCTGCTGGTGCCCAGGTTCATGTGCATGGACAGCTGCCACGACGGTGTGGCACTCGAGGGAGTGTGTCCCGACGATGAGCCGTGCTCGCGACTGCTGCCACCCGACCACCGTTCGTAGTTCTCCTCGAAGTTGCGCAGCCGCTCGTCCAACGACGGACTGCCTCCCGTATTGTGACCCGGAACATCCGAGTCGCTGGAATTGGAACTCAGGGAGCGGGGTCGCGCCGGACTGGCCATCAGGCCGGAGTTAGAGGAGGTACCTCCCTGAGAGCCCGGCTGCTGGGGCTGTTGCTGCGACTGCTGCTGGTTGCCGTGGTGGTGGTGGTGCTGGTGATGATGCTGGTGGTGGTGCGATGAGGACGACGAGGATCGCCAGTAGCGCGACGATGGGCTGGGCAGGAAAGCCGATCCCGAGCCCACGTTTAGACTAGAGTTGCTGAGGGAGCAGGAGGCGGATGACGCACCCACCGATGACGAGCCGGAGCCCGAGACTCCCGTCGAGGATAATCCCAGCCGGGACTGTTGCTGCTGTAGCTGCTGCTGCTGTTGCTGGAAGAAGAGCACCCCGAACTTGGGTAGCGGCAGCCACATCACTTCGCGAATCCGCTCGCGCGCCCTCTCTCGGGGCGGCGGCAGGCGGCGCGGCTCCGTCGGCAGCACCTCGGGCCGCTCATCGCAAAGCGGCGTACCTGGCCGGGATCCGTCCGCACTCTCGCCGCCACTGGCCTCGTGCGAGTGATGGGAATGTAGCTGGTGGCCCCTGCCCCTCGAGGCATGGTGATGGTAATCATCCGTCGGCAGACTACTGATACCGCTCAGGCCCGACGACGAGCCCGACGCTCCTCCCACGTTCGAGGTACTGCAGCTGGAGATCGATCCCGATGGCTGCATGGTTGTGGTGACACGTCGGCGCTTCGCCGCCAGTGAGGCGTTCATCAGGTGCTGCTGGTCCATGCTGCTGGCGCCCACAATACCGTGCCGAAAGGCCGAGGAATTGGAGAGCGCCGTCAGGGCTCCCACGTCGATGGACGGGCGCCGGCAGCTGAGCATCATGGATGTCGGACCCGAAGACTGGTGGCCAGGGAACTTGATGCCGGCTGTGGAGCCTCCGCCAGTTTCGGACACCCGACGAATCTCGCTCTTGCGGTTCAGGGGATCGTGTATCACATCACAGTTGGACAGGGAAATGGGGCTGGGCTTGATGCTGCTGCTGCTGTGGTCGCCAGTGGACTCCAGCTGGAAGGATTATATGATTACTTAAGGAATTCTCTACCAAATATGAGAGAGTACTCACCCCGCTGGCATTGGAATGATGGTGGTGATGGTGGTAATCCATTTTGATGCGCTTCCGCGGACTGACCACGCCCTCATCACCACTGGACGGGCATTCCTCGAGTTGTTCTGGTAAATGGAAACGTTGATTGTGCACGTGGTGCAAATCTTTGGCAATCTTACCGCAACGCCTTCGACTGCTGCTTCCAGAGGCTCCTGCACCAGCCTGACTATTGGCCATCGCCACCTCGAGGGGATCTCCCAGGCGGGACACTACTGGAGAATCGGAGCGCGCCTCCTCATCTGGTCCACCGCTGCTGTTGTTCTGATCCTCGAAGCTGCGAAAGTTCCGGGCCCGAACTCCTCCAGATCCGCTGGCATCGTTGAAGTCAAAGTCGACGGTGTGCCGGGTGCTTCTCGCCATTCGCATCCGTTGCGCCAAGGCTGCCTGCGACATGGCCATGGAACTGGCGGACGACGATCCACCCATCGGTGGCAGGGCTGTTCCCGGCACTGCAGTAGCTCCGACCGTTGGCGCTGGCATGGCACTACTGGACGAGCTGGTGCTGCTACTGGCGGTGCTACCCCCGCTTCCGATGGTGCTTTGGTTGGTTGAACTGCTGCTGGAGCTGTTGGCTCCACTGGCGGCACTGGCAACTGCACTGCCGGGCGTGTTGCTGGGCGAGCTACCATCGTTGGAGTTGTTCTGGTGCCGGCTGAACGAAGAGGCCCGCGAGCGGGACTGCGACGTCGAGGCGGTTGGATCGTAGCGATTGAAGCGCGAAGAGGAACCTTTTCGAGAACGACGATAATGCATTATTAAGCAGTGACTAAGTTAGACTAACTAGACTAACTAACTAACTAACTGACAGAAAAGATTTGACAGATTAAAGTTTGACAGAAACCTACCAGCACTCTGTGTTTGCTGCTGCTGCTGCTGCGCCTGCTTTTCCTGCTTGTCGTAGAAAGCGTCCTGGCACTCCCGGGACGCAAAGTCCACCTGCAATTTCCGGCCGCGCATAATCGTGCCACGCATATCCTTGACCGCGGCCTGGGCATTCTGCACCTGGTCATAGAGGACCAGTGCCAGCTGCCGGTTCCGATCAATGCTGACCTTGGTGACGGTGCCGAAGCGCGTGAACTGGGACTGCAGGAACGACTCGGAGACCTTCTCGCCAACACCATCGATCCAGACACAGTTGGTGGGCATGGACTTGCCGAAGCCGAGCTTGATCCGGTTGCTGCCCAGGTGCTCGCCATCCATTTTGCGCATTGCCTTCACCACGGAGACAATGTCCGAATACTGACAGAAGGCGTACGCGTTGAGGCCCTGCTTCTTGATGTCGATCTCGATGATCTCGCCGAAGCCCTCGAAGTGGCCGCGCAGCTCGCCGGCGGTGATGTCCTTCTCCAGGTTCCCAATGAACAGGGTCCGTGTCGACTTCGGATGGTACTCGTCCAGTTCCGCTTCGTACGGCCGGAACTCGTTGTCTTCCACGTCGTAGCCCTGGTAGGGTTCCACCTCGATTTTGCAGCCAAAGAAGTGCTTGTCGTGCGACACCTCCAACGCCTTCTCCACATCGTCCGGCTTCTTGAAACAGACCAGGGCATAGCGCTCCGAATTCTGGCCAACAACCTTCACCCACGTGACCTTGCCGTGCTTTTTGTACTCATGGAAGAGACCATCCTTGAGGGATGTGTCTGAGGAACGGGCGGGCAGGTTGCGGACACGTATCGCCAGTGGCCGGTTGTCCTCGGAATGCACCACAGGATTGGCTGTCAGGCAGGATATGCTCGAGCTGGAGCTGCTCGAGGAGGATGAGCTCGAGCCGCAGCCTCCGCCACTGACTGCAGTGCTGGCGACACCAGCATTGCCACTGGGATTTGAAGAGTTGCCTGCGGAGAGAGAATGGAAGTTAGTAGTGTCCTGCAAAGAGTAGATCCTCGAGTACTTACTGGTTACGGCCACTGACTGAAGGTTGCGACCGCTTCGACCATCCGACGATGTCGTCGCCATCGCACAATTGCCCGTAGACTGGACGGGACTGGACGCGTGCGAGTGGGACGAGGAGTGCGAGGAGGCCGACGAGGAGCTGTGCGAGCTGCTGTAGCTGCTCGGTGATCGCGAATGCGAGCGACTGGATGAGGTGGTGCTGCGTCCGTGCAGGTGGTGTCGCGTCCGGACCGGATGCGTGGGCATACCATTACCGTCCGCGGCGGCCGCCAACGTAGCGGCCACATTTAGAATGTCACCACTGCCGCTTCCTGGCGCTGCTCCCGCTCCTGCTCCAGTACCAGCTGCTGATCCTGCTCCGGCCGCTCCACTACCTCCAGATGCTATCGTGGGCATGGTTGGAGATGCCGTGGTTATTGTATTATTTAAACTATTACTACTAAAACTATTGTTTGTGATTGTACTTGTCGTCGTCATTGGAACGTTGCTCGCTCCAACTGGCGATTCCGAACCAGAACGTGCTCCTCCACTACTCGTTCCCGTTCCAGTGGCCGTGCCCGTGCCCGTACCTGCTGCCCCTTTTAACAGCTTATTGTGTTTACTGTTGTGCAGGAGGATCTTGCGCGCGGCGGCGGTGGCGTTGGCCAGCGAATCATCCGCAGGAGCACTGCCCGCATAAGCGACGCTCCGGTGTACGGATTGGGATTGGGCGGGTGATGAGCAGGTGCCTCCTCCTCCTCCAACACCTCCGCTTGGACTGCTGCTGTTGCTGCTGTAATGCGGGTGGTGTTGAGGATTCTGTAGATGCGGAGGTGGCTGCTGATGCGGATGCTGTTGCGAATGTGGAGGCGGATGGTGTGGATGATGCTGATTGATCGGTGAGCTGCTCATTGGGAAGCCACCGGCTGCTGAGGCGCCGGCATTGCCACTGCCACCAGGACTTTTCAATTGGGCCGTCGTTGCAGCAGCGGCGGCTTCGTACCATGACTGTGGTGGTGCCACCCGCGCTGTCTGTTGATTTTGGTGGATATTGTGGCTGCTGCTCCGGTCGCCAAGCGCTTGCGGTGCTCCCAAACTGATACCGCCTCCTAATCCTCCACCACCACCAACTACACCTATACCTACACCGCCAGCTCCAGCTCCAGCTCCTCCAACTCCTACTCCTACTCCTACTGCTCCAGCTGCCGCTGCCGCTGCTGCTGCTGCTGACGCTGCTGTTGCCGCTGCTGCTGTCGTCGTCGTCGTCGTCGTCGTGTTGCTGCTGTTGTTGATGCTGTTGCTGCTGTGACCACTGGCAGTACCATTCCTGTACAGGCGATCTCTATTGCGTGATCTCTCCGAGGATCCTGGACTGGCGGCGTTGGAATTTGTGTGGCCGTGGGCGTGGGCGTGGGCGTTGGCGTGGGAGTGGGGTATGGAGGCGTTCGACTGATATTGACTGACTAAGCGGCTGTTGGTGCGGTCGTAGTAGTTCCTTTCGTAGCTGTTTGTCGGTGGTTCCTCTGTAGACCTATGGATTACAAGTTAGATGACTAATTAGTCAAGTTGTTTTTACTATTTAATACTTAATAACTAACTTAAGCTAGATTAAGACCTAGAACTAGACTAGACACAGTGCTGGATTTTTGGAGTGCTCCTGGTCCAACCCACCTCCGCATAATATTATTTCTCAGTTTTCTCTAGGAAATCGTTGTCGTTATTGAGTTTTGATGGACAGGACAGGACCACAGGGCCCGGGGCAAGCGGGCAAACCTGGGCTTGGGTCTCTCATCGAGGACCCGAGGACCTCTCCACCGGATATAGCCGCCTTGTGTCCCAACTAGTGAGCTACTCGGCCTTCGATGGTCATCCACTGGAGAGGAGATTTCACCGACCAACCGACCGACCAAATAAATATAAACGGCGCCAAATTCTTCTTTCGCTTATTCTTCTTTCTTATTCTGTTTACGCGGCAACACACACACACGAACAAATAAATAAACTCTCGACACACACACACACACACTGCTCCAAAGCGAGCACGCACACAAACAAAAAATGCCGGGAGCCACGTTATTTTGTGCCTTTGACTTTTTTACTTTGCCGGCTGCTCGAAAACCGGTTTTCCAATTTTATATATTCGTATTTTTTTACTTGATTTTGCACGGCACTATATTAATTTTTTGAATTTTTCTCAGTCGCGTTCTTTCAGCGTTTCGTTTTTGTTTAAATAATTCGTTCTTTCCGCTTGGTACGCTCATTCGCGTGTAGTGCTGCAGAAGTTGGCAATTAAAAGGTTGTGAACTTGGAATGGTTGGAGCCTGGGCTAAGTACATAGTGCCGTCCCTGACAGAAGTTTCATCTCTAACAACGTAATGAAATTACGTTACGTTAAAGATGTTTTTATTTAAGATTTCAGAAACTTTATAATATAGCTTTAAAATGTATAGTTTAGTTTTTGTTATGGCAGTCTGTATTGTGTCTATTTTTTTACTTTATTTTTCACTTTAATATATGTATTTCTTGCCATTTGTTTATTTTAATTTATAAACAATATAAAACTGAACTTTTATAGTAATTATTTTAAGAAACCATATAAAACTTTAAAAAAATTACTATGTCTTACAAGTATTAGTTGTTTTCTTTAATTTTTGTTCAAACAAGAACTAACACGTTTAACAATAATTGTCAAAATGACATTTTCTAAAACGTCATAACCTCACTTAATGTCTTACTCCATATCCTGCTCAGTTCTCTCTGCTTAATATTCGTTTTAAACATAAATATTCCAATTTAAACTTAATTTCACATACCAAAATAGTTTAAAAACACTAAAGACATGTTTTTTTTTGTTAATTGTTGACCCACTGAGAGATGCAATTCCTAAAATATTTCCGGCTCGACTGACTGGTTCGATCGGAAGACCATTTCAAAAATTTACTTATAGGGTCGACCAAATGTTGTTGTTTTCTCTGGCACTCTGCAAGTGGGAAAGGGACATGGATAGGAAGCGAATGCCCAAAGAGGAAACCAGGTAGAAAAATATAGCATTTAGCATTTACTTTTCTACCTGAACTCGTTTCAGGCTAAAAACAAAAAAAAAATACCATTAAAGACGCAAAAACCAACCCCCAGATGAAATTAACGCGCAAAAGGCTCGCGAAGAACTCATTCCATTCGAAACCGAGGGAACTTGGGAACTCTCCGACCTGACCAGGGAGGGGTTCAGTTCTATATATTTCTACTTTTCCTGAGGGAAACCGAAACGAGCAAAATGCTGAAAAGAAAGAAAAACAGGCACGACCTTTGCTAAATGTTTGTATTTCTTTTCATTGTTTAGGGCCTTTAAGAGACTGAGAAACTGAGAAACTGAGAACTGCGAACTGAGATCCAGAACAAGATGTGTTTTTGTTCATTTTACGGCAATTTTACATAAAAATGCAAAAATTCCTAAAGAAAAACAGACGAGCAAAGGCCAGGGGGCTTGAAAGGCATAGCAAAGCCAATTTTTACATATTTTTACAACCTTAAAGGGGAGATACAATCATAAAAGATACTTAATCTTTAAAATAATATTTCATATTTTATAAAATAATAAAATCTATTTTTAATAACTTATAGAATCTATAATATAGATCCAGTTTCTATTCTAGAGAACACCTATGAGAGTCTTCGAAATGAGGCCTATGAACTCGTTCAATGGCATTGAGTACTGAACTCTCTTCTCATCAGTATTGTTAGACTGAGTACTAACCCCAGTCGATCGATCCGATCGTATCAGCTGGGTTTTAATCTCATCCATAGATAAGCAACGACCTCGTCCCCTGGCCGCGCGCCCCTTTTAAGATCTGGGATTTAGGATCAAAGATCGGGGGATGTGTGTCATTTGGGATAGGAAATGCATCTGGGGGTTGAGAGTGAAGCTAGGGGTTGATAGAAACCTGAAATATTTATCCAGCATCTGTGGATATATTTTTGAAAAATAATAAAAACAGTTGCCATCCAGATAGTCTAATCCAATACCTCATGCTAGCTTGAGCCTTGAGGTTTGAGGTTGCAAGTTCCCATCCCATCCATATAGTGCCTCCGTCCGGACTGATGAATTGAAACCATTCCTAGTTTGGCCTGATCCCCACCCTTTTCTATTTGCCATCATCGCTCAATTTCCTTCCATGTCTCGGAGATTTTTTTTAAAGCCGCATTAAGCTCTTTAAGCCAGCAGCACTTAAAATATGGCCATATAGAACAGAAACAGAGACCAGAGAACAGAAACAGCCAACAATCAAGCCAACGTTTCCCCATATATAGTAGCTATAGCAGTATATACCATAGATATGGATATAGATGTAGATGTGACTGCCACATAATAGCTATATAAATACATATATGCGGCTGCAGTCGCTGCCTCAGTTTGCTGCAAGCTCTGACCTGAGCAGAGACAGAGCACTTGGCAGACCAAGTGGCAATGTTGCATGTGGCATGACTCAGGGCGGGTGGCACTTAACAGGGAAGTCGTCTCTTTGGTTCTATATAGTTTCGATTCTAGACTTTTGGCATGGAATCTTGAGAGTCCTGTGGCATAGATCACTGTCACCAGGAGAGTGTGAGTGTGTGTGGGCGACCTCAGGAGCAAGAGAGATGGGCCTTCTCCAAACATTTTGGAGAAGAATGAGGGGCAACTTTGTCCGCCATGCGCAGTCGAGGTGCTCGGAAAAATCAATTCAGCTAAAGTGCGCCCGGTTCGGGGAATTGCAGGGCCACACACGAATACACCAATACCAGTACATCCAAAAACACCCACACACACACACACACCGATACACTATTACTGGGCAACATTTGTTGCGCCAACCATTGCAGATTGTTGGCCCAAGAGGGAGGGGAGAGCTGGGAAGGTAATCCGGGGAGTGGCTGGTGACCAGTTCAAGTAACGCCATCGTCGCTGCTTCTGGTGCTTCTGCTGCTGCTGCTGCTGGTATCCCCAAAAACCCAAGCCCACCCATGCCATGCCGCCCATCGAACCCGCCCAGAAAGGTGGGCGGACATTTTTGGGCGTCTGTAAATTGCATTACTGCCATGTTTTGGCTGCCTATATATAGGTACCGCTTATGTAATACATGGCCAACAAGAAGAGGTTGAAGAAGCCGCAGTATGGACGCTTCAAGAGTGCTCCATAAAAAATACAATAAATAATAACTTTTATGAAAAGCAATTTAGGAAAGTAATTTCTTATATTTTTAGTTAAAACTTTTATATAAAAAAAAGGTAATAAATAAACTAAAACTTTAAAATAAAAACAAAAATTAAGAACTAAAAGTACAATCTAATAAGAACCTGGTCTTTAAAGAATTAAAAGAGTTCCTAAGAGAGAGAAGAGAAGATAGACTCCCTAAGATAGACTACTAAGCTAGATAGAAGACAGACCTAGGTAACCATCTCTATAATGTCTTACATCCTCTATATATCTTTACTATCTTTATCTATATATTATAGTTTCCTTTCAGTGTATCCTGCGGCTGGCAAGGCTTCCCTATTCTTTTGTCCCGGCAAAAGTTTCTCACCGAACGTCCTTGTTTGAGGTTATTTCTGTGTATATTTGGCTGGGTCTCGCCTATACATAGCCAGTATGTACATATGTACATAAGAGTGGGTGGTTTAAAGGATGGGGGATGGCTCTATATAGCCAACAGGATATTCCTTCACACAAATACACACACAAAAGTGTACATACAACAGAGTTGAAATTCCTGAAATCCTTTTTTAGCCTTTCATTCAATCATTGTTGGGGCGGTGTCCTGCCCTGTCCTCTGCCCATCGTCCTGGCACTGCAGTCAAAGTAATTTTGGAGGATGGCGATGGAGAACATGCCCTGACTGCGTCTCCTCCAGGGCGTGAAATTTATCAACATCAGGGAGTTGGCAGCAGTAGCAGTAGCGCAGGACAAAAAACAGGAGCTGTAGCTGGAGCCCATTCGGCAGAATGGCAGCCAGAATCACCAGCAGCCCCCGTGGAGCCGGGCAAAAGTTGAAGGACACGGGAATGACAGGACACACAGGACGTAAACATGGTATTCTCGCAAAGGAATTAGATAAAACTTTTAACACAAGAGCGACAGGGACAGGCCACCCGACGGACCCAACCCAAAATTTGGCCAAAAAAAAAGGGAGATAAAGGACCTAGGGTTTTTCGCCCAGAGGTTCTTAGACTTGGAACTTTTTGGAAATGCTCCAGGTTGAAGGTTGAAATGGCTGGCATTTTTTGTGAAATATTTTAAATGTTTGATTTTAGGGATAAGAGTCAGAAGAAAAGAAAAACTCATTAAAAAGAAACTCGAAAGTTTTCAGGAATGAGTTGGAGAATATTTTAAACAACAAAGAATTTATTTTAAGAATAAATCGCTAAAGTATTATACTTTAAAATAAGTAAATTTTAATTTTATTCAGCCTTATTTATTCTTTATCAAGAGACCTAGAGACCTCTAGAGACCTAGAAGGGCCTGGAGTTACAAACCATATAGCCATAACCATTACA